AATTATTTTGATGCATACAATAAACGGTGTATTTGTTTTATGCACGCATTTATGACAATTCATATCTCGACTCGTATTTACAATTACTATCAGTTGTTTTTAAGTGTATAAATGAAATAAATGTTGTAATCTAATGGTTAACGAATGTCTTAATCATATGAGACATTATCTTAATAGAAAAAACTGGTTAACAATTAACTCTTAAATCACTTTTTTGGGGTAAAAATTATCCGCAATTGTTATGCCGAAAGAATTTTGATATTCAGGCAAAAAAAGCAATAAATATTCAAAAGTATTCATTTGAAGCGATCGTTGCGATCAATGCTTTCAATTGAGCCAATCATCCAATAACTAGGACTTTATATTACGGGTAAATCAGATCCAATATTTATGTCATACATTGCATACAAACGGCAAAATAAAATAATGCCATTTGGCTTATGATCGGAGGGTATTGTAAAGTAACGGCTATAATAAATATTCACTAAAATTACATTTTTGTGAACAATTTTTCCTAGAAATCATGTCATCACTAAAATGCACAGTCAGTATAACTGATTCTTTATGATTACTGTATAAATATGTGACTGAAAAGAGTTTACAAATAAAGGCATAGCCGGTAGTTGTGTTGAGGGCATTGGTTAGTGACCCATATCCTCATTATATGCCCATTCATTACAAAATCTGATAACTTTTAAAGTTATACTCGAAAAAAGGTACGGATTATAAGAGCAAACCGTACAGGTATTGACATATACTGTGCCATAACTTATGGTAATATTAATCCATACACTAAGCCATTACATCAAACAAAAGAGTGACACAAATGAAAAATCAATAATAATTAATGTTTAATTGCAATTTTAGTGGCATTGGTTTCAAGGCTAGCGCCACTGCGGCCCCACAATCCCCTACCCATCCCTACCTATCCATACCTTTGCCATCGTAACAGATGGCAAACACTCAACACAATTAAAAACAATTCATTATTGAAGTGCACTTCACTTATACAGTACTAAACAAATTGAATGCTTAAACCGATTGGTAGTGTACGACAAATGTGCAAATATTTGAAAGCAATTCAAACATAATTGTCATCAAAATAGTAGCGAAGACTTACGTAATTTCCAGCACCGCTTACACGGGTTGGTGGCAGTCATGGGTGCCATCAGTCTATTACCACTTCTCATACACTTATCATAACATTTAGCCTTCAATATTGTCTTGGGATCAGTTGTTGGCCAACAAATCTCACGTATTAGACGATAATCCAGTGTTGAGTCACTATTTCACGCATTTTTCATCAAATATTTTGATAGTAATCTAAAACCAAACAATTATATCAATAAAATAATTAAGTTTTTGTCACAAAGCGATTAAAACATCAAATAAATCAAATCTAATGTTTGTCGAGATATCAAAAGTTTTAACGTTAAAAGTGAAATACAATGCGATTTTTGCCGTCAATAATAATAACCGTTTCAGTTGTCAACACATCTCAGACTTTGACTATTGTTTCACTCAATAATATTATCGATAAGAAAATACAAAACCAAAAATATATAGATTTTCATACATTTACTGAAATATAATTAATTTGATGACAAAAAATGGTGTAATTGTGTAATAAAATACAAACAGAGACTGACTATTGTTTTTGTTATTTCACTTTCCAATGAAAACCAATGCATTACAAAACCATTAGATTTACATTTAATGAACTTTGCATTCAATACAAAACCAAAAACAATACTAAAAAGCACTGAAAGTATGAATGAAAAGCGAGTATTAATTACTTACCGATTATTGACATCAAAAATGAGTTGTACTCACTATACAAGGCTTTACTATCAGCTGTTGTATTGTGGGCTCAATACTATTGTCTTAATAATAATACACTAATCGTAATAATACTGTAATAATAAATATGAATATGATTTTGAGTGCAAAACTATACTAATAAACGGAAATTCAAAGCAATGACAACAACAACACAATGAAAGTCAACGTTATGTGAGAGAGAGTCTGAGAGACAACACCTTTACATGCATTACAGGTATAGAGAGACTGAAAATATATCGCTTATAAGGTATGAGACATTCACTACACTTTTTGTACACCTTTTTGTGCACAACTTTTTTATAATACTTACACAATATATTCAGCCACCGATTCACTCATTCAATACCCACTATATTATACGTTCACTAAATGCTAACATTTATCAAACCCTTTGCCGTCTCTCACATGCGCTAAACGCCGACAAATACAGCGCTTTATTTATGGTATGAATCGGTCTTACGATGCGTTCAATACTGTGTTAAACGCGTTGAGTAATGAGTCAACAGTTAACACGTTATTCAACTGCATATACAGTGCTGTTTACGTAACTACAGCTGATTTACATGACATGAATGGTCTATTAGTAAACACTAATAAAACACTTTTTCCACTATTTTTAATTGATTTTACATTTTTTAATGATTTTATTCATACATTTGATTGCATTCAACAAATCATTTTTAAGGCATTTATACCACTGTTTTGTTTAATTGTCAGACAATACCAGTTGTCTGTCTTTTAGAGAGTGAGAGACAGAGAGAAAAAACAGTGATATTGAGAGCAAAACTTTATATATTTATTGTTTTTGATTTTGTGTTTGAAATACTTTTTATTTAATTTATTTTACACTTGAATTCAATATTTGAATTAATAATAAACAAAAACTTCATTTGAGATATGCTTTGCATTTACTGTTCACTTATTGTTGTTATTATTATTTTGTGACCAAAAAACACTATATAACTAGTAATTAGTTTACATTTCAAACCAATTTGCGATGTTTTTCATATAAAACTAATACAAATAATAAGTGAAATATAAAAAAAAGTTATTATATTCTCAAAGACTTGTTTGAAGTGTGAATTGAGACAAGAATTGTAGATTGAATTGAGAAAAAAGTGATTGAATTAGTGGTGAAAAATGCAAATCAAATGTGTGTTGAATTGTTGTGAGAATGTATTGACTAAACAATCGTCAATACTATTGAGACAATTGAATGAGGTTTGCATTAATCGGTCGTTTGGTGTTCACTATATTCAGNATCGTCAATACTATTGAGACAATTGAATGAGGTTTGCATTAATCGGTCGTTTGGTGTTCACTATATTCAGGGCCAGGAGTTGAACAAAACGAGACAATACTTCTATTATATCGATCACAACGGAATGGTATGCATAGAGACACACAATATTCAATTATGATTGCAATGAACCACAATTCACAATAAGATTATACATGTTATATAAGTGCAACTCTTAAACTCACCCCCATTACCCCTCCCATTCTGCACGTATGGCCTCAATGGGCTCTAGTTATACCTAACTTATCATGGACAAATGCTAAGTTTGCTAACCATGTTAATTCTACGGGATAATTACTTTCTCTTGTGTTAAGTTTTTCAGCACAAATACTAATTGTATGGGTAATGACAACATTGTTTGTACGGTAAATCAATTGTTTCTCATAAAATATAGTTATTTCCAAATTGACTCAAAACTTGTTTCTTTTTATTTATTATCATTTGGTATAATATTTTTTTTGTGAAAACAATTTGAAATTTATTTATAATTTTATTTCATATCCAATATTGAGTCTGCATTTGAAGATCATTGAAGCGATTCAATGAAATATGTGCTAAATATGAGTTTTTGAACCAAACTTTATGGACTATGAGATTATTAAGAATTGCCATTTTTTCGCTCAGTTTTGACAATTTTCTTTAGAGACTTAATGATCAACTTTTTTCATTATAAATTTCATTGCAATTGATTTCTAAATATGTGTTTCGTAACCACTATTTAAAGTTTGTGTTTGTTTTTCCCTTTGCTTTTGAAACGAAAGCTTTTTTTAGACGATTCAAAGATGAAAAACTTTACCACTTGTTTCAAAGATACAAAGTTCTTACAGTTCTTCTTCAGACGAGTCCAGACTAACAAAACGGGTTTATATGAGAAAGACTTTCCATACATATCATTGTGTGGCAGAGAAACCAATTTCATTCGTAAGTCGTTTTTTCGGTCATCTTTACCACAATTCCCAGACATTTAATGATAAAAAAATCAAAATTTTAAAAATAATGCTTTTTATAATACAAACGATTCTATATATAGTATTATTTTTATAAATAATTTATATCATTAAAAATTAAATAAAAACTAAAATCTCTTAAATTATTTAAAGCCGTATTTAGAACTTCAATGACTTGAATAATGAAATCTTACGAAACGAGATGTTATTTTACATACTATTTATGTTTATTATAATGATATGAAGATTGCAATTCATATCACAATTTTGCAATTCATTACAATATGTGATGTATTTTAATCATACATTAATTATTGTAAGAATCATAATTTGTTCTCATATTATAGGTTGCGATGATTTGCCGATAGTGTTCACTCATATAATCAATGATAACGACAATTACCTGTTGTCTTACGGTTATGCCGACAAATTACTGACCGTTCCCTTTGAGCCCAAAACTTTATATATGAGACCAGAATGTGTTGATAGTATTGAGGAGACGGGCGGTCGGGTGTATCACAAAGCGATGGATAGAGTGGGAGGCGTTGGACTCGTGAGGTCTAAGTTGGCCTATCAGTTGAGCAAACACTTCGCATTCAAAGACAACACCAAAACCATTCCCACACACTTTGAATGGATGGGACAGACGTATGAATTAACAAACGAATTGCAATCAAAATTACTGTAGTTTAATAATAAAATATTATATTTGCGATATATTTTAAATATTACAAAAACAATTGATTAAAATTAGATATTTTTATATAAAATTAATTCTCATTAATATCGATATAAACTATATAAAATATAAAAGTATATATTAAGTTAATCAGAGCTTTAGTTTCTTGATGTCTAACGGACTGAAGTCTTGTCTCAATTTGAGCGCTTGTTTCACTTCGTTGGGAGTCATTCTCCAGGCGCTCAACATATCTGTGCCCACAGAACCGGATGGACTCGAATTCGGATTCAAATACTCATTCATTTCGTCAATAGTGTCCAGATTTAAGATGATTGCGATGTGTTTCAATCGGGAGAACTTGTCCCGTATGGACCACGTGGTCGCACGCGTCAGGTAATTGATTATTGCCCTCAATTCCCGATCAAACTGAAAGCCTCCCAACTATTGAACATAAATTCAATCGCATTAATGATTGAGTTATAATAATAGTGGAAATGAATGCTTACTTTATTGTACGAACACTTGACGACTCCGTCGCCCAATCTTTGCGTCAATTCAGTGGAGAATAGACTGAGAAGAGTGTCGCTATTGTTTTGAGACAAACTCTCCTTAAATGACTTAATCAACGCATCAATACTTATAATAAATGTTTGCATAAAAGGTCGCAAACCATCGGTCGACTCATAACTGCTTAAGTCCTCTTCATTGAGAATATGGTTACTTGAGATGAAAGCGTCGACCCATGTCTTGATCCTAGGCTTCAATACGGATGAGCATAACTGTCCCAAACCGGATGTAGTGATCGATTTGAAGCGTCCGCTCAGAGCGACCAGATCTGAGAGACAGCTCTCGAGTTTATCACTTTGTTGTTTCTGTAAGACCGTCGCCTTCTTCACGTCGTCTGAGATCGAGGTCTTCAATGTCTTCACGTAATCACAAGCGGTGTCCAAATTGTTGAGTGAACTCAAGAAAAGTGTTTTGGCTTTTTCTAAATCACTGGCCGTTTGTAGATATCTTCCCGCTTGGAGTGCGTTATAGGCCTGACTCAAGTCAAGAGCGGCGGCCGCACCCGATATGGTGGCAGTGCTCGGGTATCCGTATCGTAATCTCTCGTTCATTGCCTCGCAAAACGATGACTCCAAGAGTGACACCGAATGGTTAATCATAGCGCAGACCACATCAACACTTCCGCTCGAAAGCGCTCTTTTGATACATTTCTTGATAATAAAGAAGACGTCGTCTAACATACTGGACGTGAGAGCACCCGATGTCTCGACGCAATCCAATTGAATGGCTTTAAGAGTGGATTCTCTGATGAAATACTCTTCCATCAGAACATAGATTCCGTTCATTTCGTGTATTGAATGACTTAATTCACAGTTCCTTATAATGGAATCGATTTGATTCAGTCTTTCAGTCCTTTCATTTTGATCTTCAATTTTATCACTTTTTTCTGGAAAAGCGATTTCGATATCACTCTTCGTTCTCTTCGACACAAATCTTAAATAGGTTTCACTCCTATGGTTGAGAACAATCATTTCGGACAATAACTGATCCAAATCTCTCGGATCTACTTTCGTCACCGTTTGATAACTAGAGCTCGGTTTCAGTGATTTGGTCACTAAAGTGACGATTTGTGACAAATTCTTCTTCACTTTGAAGTCATCGATAATCCTTTTGCTGAGACGATCGCACTCTTTCTGGAGGACATCGATAACTGTGGTCAGCCTTCCGGGTCCGTAGTAGGTCTCGATCAGCGGCTGATGAATGTCCACAGTCTTCGCTATACACTCGTAAAGTTGTGTCAACTTATCTGAATGCGTGGCCGAAGAGTGATTCGTATTGTTTTTATTGCCGATTGACTTCTCATTGACTTTTGTGCACAAATAGTTGGAAAACTTCTTCAAACCCTCCGAGTGTTGGTTCAGAAGTGGGAATATCTTGAAGAAGCGCTCGACTGACGCCACGTCGTCATCGCTCACCGCTTCGTCGAACCTCTTCATCACAATAGCCTTGAGTCGACTCTCGGCGTCGTGTAAGCGATCGAAAGCCTCGTCCATTGAGGAGCCCTTCTCTGAAGTGTAGGTGACGTCCTCTTCGGCCGATTTCCGCAGAATGGACTCATCCATAGAGAGGAAGCGGTGTATGTGTGCGGCCGCCTGTTCGTAGTCTTCGGCCGACAGCGCCTTTTGGATGCCATCCGTACAGAACTTGAGGTCTAAGATGTCTTCAATGCGTTGAAGGCATTGAGTGACCCGTGTTTTGGCCGAATCCAGTCGTCGGACTTTATAGGACACGCTGTCGGCCAGCGATGACGTGAACCTAATGAGTGACGACAACTGTTTGGCGTCCGATTCAATCAAAGACATGTTCGGCATGTCTTTGCGGAGACCAGCCATCGACGCCTCCAGACTCTGGTCGTCGGACAACAACTCATTCATCTCACTCTCAGTACTCTTCTCTTCGTTGCATAAGAAGTCGTAAGCCTTGAGGACGTCGTCGAGTGTGGAAAGAGTGGACAAATCAATGATAGTATCCATCGGTTTGGTTGACCGCCGACGAGAAGTTCACTCAAGAGTTGTGTTGTTTACGAATGCAATGCCATTGAAATGCATTCAAAACCCATTCAAACGCTACACGTATTGCAAAACACACAACAAATCCAGACGTTATTCATGTGAATGTGTTTTAAATGCTTAACAATAAAGCCATTCATTGAATGCATTGAAAGGCAAGAGAAGCACATGTTTTGTCCGTTTAGTCGCCCTTTCGTTGCAATCAATCCTTAATTCAATTGAATTATGCGTTGATTTTATGGCACAATATAATCAATTCAGACATTGATTTAAAGCCTAAACCAATGGTAAGTCATGTCATGTCTTGGAAAGCATTAAATGTGTTTACTTTCTATGAAATTGTCTTCACATTAACCGCCGCTTTAATGAATTCATAACATTTTAAATGCAATTGAATTCACTTTAAATACACATTAAATTGTATTTAAATCACAAACTATTTATTGAAATGATGTAAACATAATATAATACATAACATGTATTGATGAGTATAATCCTCTAAGAAGTACTGATCCAACCATTTATTGCTTCATTCAACGCATGTTTTGCCCTAAAGTTTGCGCCATTTTATTGACGGAAAGATGTTTTTTGTCTTTAGATCTAATCGTTTAGTCGATGGTCTGAGCGCTCGAAGACATGTATTTATATAACCTAACCCTTCAGAGGGCGTCGGGTGTCGTCCACGCAGTTCACGGAAGTTTCGCCGGAACTAAACAGCAGGAGATAGCGGTGGCGAAGGGAAAGGTGTTGGAACTGCTCCGACCCGATGTCAATACCGGCAAAATTCACGTCTTGCTGTCTGTCGAGGTTTTTGGTATCATTCGATCGATGCTTACGTTTCGATTAACCGGTGGTTCTAAAGATTATCTGGTGATCGGATCCGATTCCGGACGCGTTGTTATTCTGGAGTATTTGCCGAATAAGAATGTCTTCGATAAGGTATTGAATGTTTTGAGTTATATTTGTTGTAAATGTTTGATCCAAATGATGAGCAAACCTGTCTGTCCACTGAACTGATTGCTGTGGATATCATAACCAAATTTACCTCAATTTTGTCTGATTTTATTGATTTAGTCTTAATTATTGTTAGTTTTATGTGAATATATATAACTTGTGTGTAATTATGTGACGACAGGTCCATCAGGAGACGTTTGGTAAGAGTGGCTGTCGTCGTATAGTTCCCGGACAGTTCTTGGCCACTGACCCCAAAGGCAGAGCTGTTATGATAAGTAAGTTGTATTCAACACATGAACTTTTTATTACTTATTTAAATGATGATAGTATTGTTCTCATCATAAGTTTATTGATGATTATAATTCCTCTAAGAAGTACTGATAAAAACTCTTTCATAGTTTGTTAAACTAATTTCCTGTCCATAATTGAGTGCATAGTATATAATGCCTTTTGAATGATTTATAGGCGCCGTTGAGAAGCAAAAGTTGGTTTACATCTTGAATAGAGATGCGAGCGCTCGGCTCACCATATCTTCGCCATTAGAGGCCCACAAATCCAATACATTTGTGTTCCATACGGTCGGCATTGATGTGGGCTTTGAGAACCCGATGTTTGCCTGTCTTGAGATGGACTACGAAGAGGCGGACACCGATCCGACCGGAGAGGCGGCGCAACTAACCCAACAAACGCTCACATTCTATGAGTTAGATTTGGGTCTCAATCATGTGGTGCGCAAATACAGCGAACCCCTTGAAGAACACGCAAACTTTCTGATCACAGTTCCCGGCGGTACTGAAGGTCCGTCCGGTGTTCTCATCTGTTCCGAGAATTACGTGACTTATAAGAACTTTGGCGATCAGCCGGACATCCGGTGTCCGATACCCCGTCGGCGCAACGATTTGGACGATCCCGAGAGAGGGATGATATTCGTGTGTTCGGCGTCTCATAAGACGAAGAATATGTTCTTCTTTCTGGTGCAGACAGAACAGGGAGACGTCTTTAAGCTGACTCTGGAGGTGGACGAGGATATGGTGACTGAAATCAAGTTGAAGTACTTCGACACCGTTCCCGTTGCCGCCAATCTATGCGTTCTCAAGACTGGCTTTCTGTTCGTGGGCTCTGAGTTCGGGAATCACTATCTCTACCAAATCGCACACTTAGGCGATGACGACGACGAACCAGAGTTCAGCAGTTCGTCGCCATTAGGAGAGGGCGAGACCTTCTTCTTCTCTCCCCGTCCTCTCAAGAATTTGGTTTTAGTCGACGAATTGGAATCACTCTCTCCTATAATGCACTGTCAGATCGCAGACGTGGCCAATGAGGACACGCCTCAGGTGTTAGTTGCCTGCGGAAGGGGTCCGCGTTCGACGCTTAGAGTTTTACGGCACGGCTTAGAAGTGTCAGAGATGGCTGTGTCTGAACTTCCCGGTTGTCCTAACGCTGTCTGGACTGTCAAGAAGAAGGCCGACGAAGAGTTTGACTCTTATATTGTGGTCTCTTTTATTAACGCAACACTTGTTTTATCAATCGGTGAAACGGTTGAGGAGATCACAGACTCTGGCTTTTTGGGAACGACTCCGACGCTGTCGTGCGCACAGATCGGTGACGACGCTCTCGTCCAGATATATCCCGACGGTATCCGTCATATTAGAGCCGATAAACGAGTCAATGAATGGCGAACTCCGGGCAAAAAGCATATCTCGAAGTGCGCTATAAATCATCGACAAGTTGTGATCGCTTTAACCGGCGGTGAAATTGTTTACTTTGAAATGGATATCAGCGGACAATTGAATGAATACACCGACAGAAAAGACATGAATTGTGACGTTATTTGCATGGGTTTGGGAGAAGTGCCGGCCGGCGAACAGAGATCCAGGTTTTTAGCCGTCGGTCTATCGGACAATACGGTCCGAATCATATCACTCGACCCATCGGTTAGTTTTTAGCATTTTTACTTTTTGTTAGGTTTGGTTATTAAATGATGATTCTTCCGTGTTTCAACTGAATTTGGTGTTGAACTTTTTATACCTGATAATATGTTTACTGTTTAGCGTTCACTTTAATTCAATATCTCTACAAATCATATAATCTTTTACTTTTTATGTTTAGGAATGTCTGTCTCCGCTCTCAATGCAAGCATTGCCGGCAACGCCCGAGTCTTTATGTATTGTCGAAATGGGATCCAAGAATGAGTCTAAAACGTCGGGCCGTTTGTATCTGAATGTCGGCCTTCAAAATGGAGTACATTTGAGGACAGTTTTGGATGAAGTGACCGGAGATTTATCGGATACTCGGACTCGATATCTCGGGACCCGTCCTATCAAACTATTTCGGGTTCAAATGCAAGGCAGTGAAGCACTGTTGGCGATGTCGAGCCGTTCGTGGCTTTGTTATTACCATCAAAATCGTTTCCATTTGACTCCACTCTCGTACGAGATGTTAGAATACGCGTCCGGTTTCTCATCAGAACAGTGTCCGGAAGGCATTGTCGCCATTTCTGCCAATACTTTGCGTATTTTAGCCATTGAAAAGTTGGGCGCAGTTTTCAATCAGCAATCAATTCACTTGGAATACACGCCACGAAAGTTTGTAATACATCCGGAAAGCGGTTATTTGATTGCCATCGAAACGGATCACAACGCATACACTCAGAAGAATAAAGGCATCCGAAGGACCCAAATGGCCGAAGAGATGGTGGAGGCGGCGGAGGGCGAGCTCGAACAGGAACAGGCCGCTGAAATGGCCGCCGCCTTCCTCAGCGAAGAACTGCCCGAAAGTATATTCGGAGCGCCGAAACCAGGTTTGGGTCACTGGGCGTCCATTATTCGGATACTCGACCCGATTAGCGGCCAAACGTTGCATAAGATAGAGTTGGAGCAAAACGAGGCGGCGTTTAGTATAGCCCTCTGCCGTTTCATAGGACAGGGAGACGTGCCCTACATTCTGGTTGGCGTCGCCAAAGATCTTCATCTGAATCCTCGCGAGTGCGCCGGCGGTACTGTTCATACGTATCGGTTGTTAGAAGAGGGAAAACGACTCGAATTGATGCACATAACGGCTGTGGAAGACGTGCCGCACGCCATCTGTCCCTTTCAGGGCCGAGTGGTTATAGGCGTCGGAAAACTGCTCCGAATCTACGATTTGGGCAAAAAGAAGTTATTGAGAAAATGCGAGAATAAGAACATCAATAACATGATTGTGACCATCAGTGCGATGGGCAGTCGCCTATACGTTGGCGACATTCAGGAGAGCTTTTATTTTGTAAGATATAAGCGATCGGAGAATCAGTTGATTGTGTTCGCCGACGACTCTGTGCCGCGTTGGGTGACAGCGATGTGTGTCCTCGACTACGACACTCTGGTCGGCGCCGACAAGTTTGGCAATATTGTGGTGATTCGGTTGCCTCAAGGCATCAACGATGAGGTGGACGACGACCCGACGGGTATTAAGTCATTGTGGGACAGGGGATGGTTGGGCGGCGCCTCCCAGAAGACGGACATATTGTGTAACTTTCATGTCGGAGAAATCATACTCTCGATGCAAAGGGCGACTCTTATTCCCGGCCTTTCCGAAGCGTTGGTCTATACGACCATTTCGGGTACAATCGGTGTATTGGTTCCGTTCACATCACACGAAGACCACGACTTCTTCCAACACTTGGAAATGCATATGCGGTCAGAGAATGCGCCGCTCTGTGGACGCGACCACTTGTCCTTCCGGTCGTATT